GGCGCAAGACGGCACTGGTAGGCCCCATATGACGTTCTGCATGCCTCTAAGAGCCCCCCAAGAAGGCCTCACGATTGCACTGAGGTGGCCCCGAGCCGCCCAGCCATTCCCCCGACAGACCCAAACCGTTCGCCGAACATCAGCGTATGTCAACGCGTTCGGCCTTCTGGCCTTTTCGGCTTCCGATTGGTCCCAGAAGCCTCACGATGGCCCTGGGATGGCCCCAAGAGCCCCAAGAAGAGAGCCCGAAGAGAAGCCCAAGAGAGCCCCGGGGAGGCAGTTCGTCGGGCTCGTCGCTACCTCTGTGCTGGGAGGGCGGGCGGGAGCGACAGGGACAGCCTGCGGCTTGCGGGCAGCTTGCCCCTTTCCCTCCCCCTCTCCCCCTCACTGAGTGCCCACCCTTGTCTGGTCGCCTCAAGCAGGACTGCAAGAGGGCTCCCACATGCTGCCGGAAGGGTTGCAGGAGAGGGCACCAAGACGGTCCCGAGCGGATCCCAAGAGAGCCGCAAGATGGCTCCAAGAGCCTCCACCAGGGGGCCCCAAGTTCGCAACACTGGGGGAGCTTCAGCTGATCGTTATTTAGATGTCATGGTTGTGTTGTCCCCCTCCAGTAATTCAGTAGTGCTCGGTCAACTCCCTGTTCACGACGAATCGCCTAGGACTCTCACCAGCACTCTGGGCGGAGGTGGTATTAAGCGCTTCCTCCTACAAACCCCTTTCATCCCCTTCGGGGAGGCGGTGACCTCTGCTCTTTATCAATGAACAGCCCCTCCCCGACCCGACCGGCGACAAACCAGGGACAGTGCCAACACGCACACACAGACACACACACACACACACACCACCACCACCACCACCACCACCACCACCACCACCACCACCACCACCACCACCACCACCTCTGCAAACAAAACGAAACAAACTACACGCTGTAGCAAAAACTTGGACCATGCGCGGGCGCCCCGCGATCACTTTATACTGTTTTGTGCCAGGGATGGTGGGGATGGGGCCTCATATTGTCTGGTGCGTGCGGCCACACCATCCCTGGCAAAGCATCTGCACCTGGCGCGGGTAGAGTACGTGGCACACTTGTCACTTGGCGCACGTGCAGCGCTTGGCGCATCTGGTGCACCAGGCGCGCCTGGGCCCCTGGGCTGCCAGGCGCACCTGGTGCGCGCGGCGGACGTCGCACACGCGTGGCGCACCTGGCCAGCCTCGCGCACCTGGCGCCTGTTGTGGTCCCCAGCGGCTGCCCATCCAACGGCGACCGCTGAATATGCTGAGACTCGGTCTCCCACGCCGGTCCTCCTCCGTTCCTCCTCCCCAAGGGGTGGTCCCAGGGGAGAGTCCTTTTCCTCCTCCTTCTCCTCCTCCTCCTCATCTCCGCCTCCTCTTCCTCCTCCTCCTCCTTCTCCTCCTCCTCCCCCTCCTGGTCGTCGTCGATATCTTTCAGGGTCGGCGACACCGGCCGTCAGGCCTTCACAATATGAAAGGACTCGGGTGCCACTTCTGTGCTGGGAGGGCGGGTGGGAGTGACCGAGAGAGCTTGCGGCTTGCGGGTAGCTTGACCCTTCCCCTCGCCCCCCGCCGCGACCGACTGGAGCGTCCACGATGGCCCGAGATGGCTCCAAGATAGCCGAATAGACCTCAAGGTGACCTCCCAGATGTAACAAGACGGTGCGCTCATCCGACATATTTCAAGACGCCCCAAGGCCGCCTCAAGATGGGTCCAAACAGCGACGGAAAGGCCCCCAGCTGGCTTTTACAGCGGCACCAGTATGACGTTGTCATGGCATCATCATGGGCACACTCAACTTCAGGCCAGCGGGAAGGGATAAGCCGCAAGACGAAGAGATGCGTGATTTGGTCTCCCAGGGAGACACACAACTCCTTTTTCTTTACGTCGCAGCGCGGCAGAGGCAGTCCGCACGCGCGCTCGGGCAAGCCGGGTAAGGGCATCGCTCCTTGTCTTTCGGCAAGAGCGAGAAAAAGAAGGGAGGGAGGGATACGAAACGCCCACGGGGTGAACCAAAATATTCCTGAGACCCGCAGGGGTATGACAAGAGTCAGGGACACAGCCGGAGCGCCCCGTGCTCCACGAAACAAGGCGTGAGATGTGCGCCGACGTCGGTCAAGGATCCGCTCGGGGAAGCCGGCAGCGGAGGCGCTGGGAGCCCCCGCGGCGCACTCCACGCGAGAGCGCTGCGCAGACATGTGCACAGGGTGAGGGCATTGGATAAGGAAGCATTGGATAAGGAATGAATCCAGGGTCTGGAGGCCAGCGGAACTCGACTCGAGGCTTGGCCATGGGTGTCGTCGCCGCCCTAATCAGATAAGAAATCCTTCAGGCTCTGATCTTCCTGGGCACATTCTTTAACCAATGCCCCCGCCGTAGATGATCCAGGGTTGCCCCCCCCCTCAGTGCATATGGGATGGAGCCCCCCCCCCCAGCTGGATGGGTACGCCAGCGAGCGTCGCGAGAAGGCCTCGCGGAGGGGAGCGCTCCCCCTCCACCTGTGGTCGTAGCCCTGCAGGCGTGGCGCTGTGGTGGGTGCCGGTGCCCCCCCCTCCCCCTGTGGGTGTGGGCTGGTCGTCTTCCGTCAGCGTCGGCGTCGGCGTCGGCGTCGGCATCGGCGTCGGCGTCGGCGTCGGCGGCGGCGTCGGCGGCGTCGGCGTCGTGGGCGTCGTCGGCGTCGTCGTCATCGTCGTCGGTGTCGGCGTCGTCGTCGTCGCAGTCGGCGTCGGCAGCGGCGGCGGCGGCGGCGGCGGCGTCATCGTCGTCGTCGTCGTCGTCGTCGTCGTCGTCGTCGTCGTCGTCGTCGTCGTCGTCTTCCCCCTCCCATCCGATCTCTGGGGGGGCGGGCCTGTGGAATCCTGGGGCCCATCCCATCTTGGATCATCTTGGGAGGGTGGGCCTGTGAACCATCGACCGGGGATCATACACATATGCCATACCGTTCGACTGTATACACTCAAAAACTCGAATGCACATACATAGGCATTTACATATACAAATACGCATGTCCATACACATGCACGTACACATGCACACGTATACACATACGTATACGGGCACATCATAGACACGCGCACATAGGAACACACGCATATACATCGACGTACGTGGGCGGTTCCGCTTCCATCCGGTGCCGCCTCGCTCGGCGGCGGAAATCCGCGATGTCCCATGGAAACGGGGCCCGTCGCTAATCCACGCCCCCTCGATCCATGTCTGCGACCCATGGGGCGGGGCAGCGGGACGAAGGGAGGGAGGGCGCGAGGCAGGCACGGTGCCCAGCTGCAGTCGACAGCCTACGCGGCTGAGAGCGCAGCACGCCTGCACACAGAGGTAAGGGAACAGCTGCTTCGTGATGCGCATTACCCCAGCGTCGACCCCAAACCCAGCGCGTTTCCTTGTATTCGGCGATGATGGGCATTATGGGGGGGGGAGGGGCCAGAGGGGGGATGGTGTAACACCTCCCCCCCACCGTGCGCACGGCGGCAGTGCCCGGAGCGCACTGGGGGAGAAGGGCGTTATGCTATAGGAGGGGGGGGAGGGGGGGGCCGGAGGCTACAATGCCCATTGTGCCCCAAGCAATAGAGAAGCACGCTCATAGGAGTGCGCGAACATCCTCGTGAGGGTCGCCACTTTTCGAGGGGCCAGGGCGCCCGAACCACAACTGGGCCACGGAGCCGGCAGAGGATCTCTGCTCCTCCAAGGATGGAATGGAATAACTGCTTCGTTATGCAGATTTGTGGCACATCCACCTACGCATGCACCAAGAAACTGCGCTATAAGCTATGAGGCATACACGGGCACATGTGGAATCGATCTTTGAAAACCTCCTGAGTTATCCCAGAGCATCTGTGGGTTCCCGAGACCTTTGCGGGATAAGAGATCTCTTTGGGGCACCTCATTGTAGGCCGATGCCTTATCCGACGTGCCAGCTGTAGAGAAATTTACGCTATTACGGATGCGTCTTACTCCTCACCCCTCCTGACCCAGCATTTCCACTGCAGTGGCGATCATCGGGTAACCCCTGGGCAAAGACTCCTCGGCCTGCCTCGGCAGAACCTGCTCTGCACGAGGAAAATCGTTGATGCTCAACTATCACAACCGCCTCCCGATTACGAACGAGCCCCCTTGGGATTGAACATCCGGGAACCCCTGCCAGCGTGTGCAAAAGGCTACTTCTTTACCAGGCTCCCTGCGGCCGCGTGGGGCACCCCTCCTCTGGCACGCCAGCCGCGTCAAACACAACGGCATCGCGCGTCATCGGGCCGGGCGGAGGCTCCTTCCCGTGGGCCCCTTTCCCGCCAGGAGGGAGGCGGGGACGGGTGCCAGATGAGTTCAAGCGGGGGAGCGGAGGAGGAGGAGGAGGAGGAGGAGGAGGAGGAGGAGGAGGAGGAGGACAACCTTCGGTCCAACTTGGGCAACCTGCTGGCCGAACGGGGCCAGCTTCGGCCATCTCGATGCCCCCGTTGGGCGCCCTTCACTGCTGCCCGCCTGGTGCCCGTCTGCGGCCCCCTCGCTCTAGATCTCCCCCTCTGCCCGTTCCTCCTGCCGCGCCCTTGTCCCCGTGCCTCCTGCTGCTCCCGCTGTCCCCCGTGCTTGCGCAGCCCCTCCCGGCAAATCCGTCCCTGCTGAACTGCCTTCACAATCGAATCGGCGGAAGCGACCGCAAGGCCTCTGCAAGGATGAGCTTGGCATCTCCCCTGGCGCTCAATCCAAGTCGCCTGGGAAGCAACATGCGCAAGCGTATGTCAATCGCGCACCTGGTTGAGCACATGACTATTGGCCATTTCAGACGCTGGTGTTCTAATCCCACCGAAAACCGCAGAACAAGACAGCTGGCCAATTCGGCCGTGGCCCGAAGTCCGATTGCAATGCGCATGAGCTCGAAGGAAAAACCTCGTTGACTACGAGTGCACACAGAGCGCCGAAGGAGGACAGGATTGTGACCAACCAGTCCGTATGGCGGGAAGCGGAGCAGGCCCCCCGCCTGGACCAGTATCCGCTCGCCAAGCACGTGAGCTCGAACGAGGATCCTCGCAGACATCAAGGGCTCGGAGAAGCAACGAGAGAGCGAAAGAGAGAGAGAGAGAGACAGAGAGAGCCAGAGCGAGAGAGATAGCGTTAGGTCGGGCGTGTCCCCCTACAGGCGGATTTTGGACGAAAAAACAAAATCGCGTTGGGTTTTTCTAATACTCAAAAAATGCTCAAAAAGCTAAAGAATCGTCCCCAAACCTGTCGGCGTGTGTGAGGGGTTTTTCCGTTCGAGCCGTCATCTCCGTCATTCTTTGTACTCGTCGTCTCTGTCCTTCCCTTTCCCTGGGAGACCTCTTCCCCTGGGCTCCAGCCAAGCCGACCTTGAGCAACCTCGTAATTGAGTCGAAGGGAAGCCCCTTCCCTTTGATCCCTCCCCCGCCGGGAGGGGGGGGGGGGTAGCGACCCCCCCCCCGGGTCAGATACGACGCCCCCCCCTGGGACTCCTCTTCCCCTGGGCTCCAGCCAAGCCGACCTTGAGCAACCTCGTAATTGAGTCGAAGGGAAGCCCCTTCCCTTTGATCCCTCCCCCGCCGGGAGGGGGGGGGGGTAGCGACCCCCCCCCCGGGTCAGATACGACGCCCCCCCCTGGGACTCCTCTTCCCCTGGGCTCCAGCCAAGCCGACCTTGAGCAACCCCGTAATTGAAGGGAAAGCCCCTCCCTTTGATCCCTCCCCCGCCGGGTGGGGGGGGGGGTAGCGACCCCCCCCCCGGGTCAGATACGACGCCCCCCCCTGGGACTCCTCTTCCCCTGGGCTCCAGCCAAGCCGACCTTGAGCAACCTCGTAATTGAGTCGAAGGGAAGCCCCTTCCCTTTGATCCCTCCCCCGCCGGGAGGGGGGGGGGGTAGCGACCCCCCCCCCCCGGGTCAGATACGACGCCCCCCCCTGGGACTCCTCTTCCCCTGGGCTCCAGCCAAGCCGACCTTGAGCAACCTCGTAATTGAGTCGAAGGGAAGCCCCTTCCCTTTCATCCCTCCCCCGCCGGGAGGGGGGGGGGGGTAGCGACCCCCCCCCCGGGTCAGATACGACGCCCCCCCCTGGGACTCCTCTTCCCCTGGGCTCCAGCCAAGCCGACCTTGAGGGTCGAAGGGAAGCCCCTTCCCTTTGATCCCCCCCCCCGGGAGTCAGATACGACGCCCCCCCCCCCGTACCGACCTTGAGCAACGTCGTCATTGAGTCGAAGGGAAGCCCCTTCCCTTTCCCTTCCCCGACGGGGGGGGAGAGGAGGTCCCGGGGGGGGTCCCGGGGGAGTCCCGGGGAAATCCCGGGTCAGATACGACACCTCCCTCCCCCACCTTCTCGTCCTTCTCCCCGTTCCCCCAAACCATCCCACAGCCCGTGCCTCTTGCTGCGCATTGCGAACAGGGTCGGCGGCACCGGCCGTCAGGCCTTCGCAATACTCAAAAAATGCTCAAAAACTAAAGAATCGTCCCCAAAATACGTTTGACGATTTTGAATATTCCTCTTGTGGTGGGACAGGCCCGACCTTCAGATAGCGACATTGTTTTGTTAACGCTGCGGCGCGGCACATCGGCCACACGCAGGGAGTGGCCCTGGGTAAGAGTGACCTTTGATGCGCGGCTTTTGGGGGGGCCGCAGGGTGACCAACCGCGGGCACGCAAGACGCTACTACAGTGGGGGCAACGATAGAGGAGGATAGGCATAGGGGGGATGCATCGACATGGAATCGGCGATATATCGTCGATAGATCGGCGATAGGCCCCCGATAGTGAATCCGCACCTTCCCGGGCGGGGTTGTGCTATCGGGCCCCTATCGGCGATCGATGGGCAATTGGGGGTCGATGCATCCCCTCCCTATGCCTTTCCCCCTCTACCGTTGCCCCCGACAGCAGTGGGGGGCCCGACCAAAGAAAACTTCCACAACAAGTCCAACCCTGAGACCCCAGGACGTCCTCGGATTTTTGGCGTGGGAACGCTACGCCCTCCATCGCAAAACCATCGAAACCCAAGAAACACAGGGCACCCTGGAGGCAAGCAGGGTGTTCCTTGGTATGAGCTCCAAGACGCCCCCAAGTGGGGTCCACGAGGGGGGAGGGGAGGGGGGGGGGGGGGCACAATTCCAGCTGTCCGCTCCAAGATGCCCCCAGGAGGCCCCTGAGAGGCCCCAAACCAGCCCCCAGGAGGCTTCAAACCTGTTTTCATGATGCCCCCGAGAGTTCCCCCTCGACATCCCAACGAACATCCAAGAGGCCTATGACCCACAGCCCAGGCATGGTGACGAGATGGACAGAGGGAAATTAGGAAACGACGGCGACGAAGACGGCAATACTGAGGTGTCGCTGCTTCGTGAGATGAATGGTCAGCTCAGACGATCGATAATGGTGCCGATCTCCCCCAACATCCTTACCACCTGACGGGTAATATATGCGACATGGCCATCCCAGTACCACTATCAACACCACAATTACCAATGCCACTGCTACGCGCTCTTCGCCCTTTGCTCCTCTTTTCCCTCCGTCTCCTCCTCTCTCTCCATGCTGCGGGGCAGGCAAGGAGAACCCAGAGGAGGAAAATATCGTGAGGCTTTGGGAAGATGCCAAGGAGAAAGAGGCGAAGGAGGAGGAGGAGGAGGAGGAGGAGGAGGAAGGAGGAATGAGGAAGGAGGGGGACCAGCGTAAACCCAGGGCGCATCAACGACGCTGCATCGCGGGGAATGCCCCATTTGAAGCCGACCGTCTGAGAATCCCCAATCGTGCTAGAATGTCATCCCAGGGGGTTCCAACGCCGCGAAGCAACGTGACTGCTGCGCCCCGGCAATCCAAAATCGTCCCAGAACACCATTCCTGGGACTGCAACGCCGCAACCCGACGTGACTACTGCGTCCCGACAACCCCAACTCGAACCCAAACACCGTTCCTAGGACTTGAACAGACGAATGTGCGCGGTGGTAAATATGGAGCCACCTGTTGAAAAAGGCACATCCTCTACAATAGAAACGTGCTTCCAACTTTACAAGGAATGTGCGCGGCGCTACAGCTAGAACCACATTTTGAAAGAGGGCCCACCATCCATCCTGGAAGCAGCTGCCGCATTTTCAAACGACTGTGCGCAACGATATCACAAGAACCACACTTTGAAGACTACCCGTCATCCATCCTTGAAACTCTTCTAGAACATCAGAACAAATGTGCGCGGGAAAGAGTGAAAGCCACATTTTGAAAATGGCCCGCCCTCCATGATGGAAGTTCTTGCCAACGTTAAAACAAATGTGCCTGGCGCTACAGCGATAGCCACGTTGAAAACCGTCTGCCCTCCATCTATGAAACTGATACAACGTTCTGGCTTCAGGATCATATTGGTGAAGAAGTATTATGCGAAACGCCTGGCCTGCCCTACTGGCACGGCTGGGGGTGCGACAGGGAGGGGCTACGAATAAGAAACAAGGATGGGGGAAGCGAAAGAAGAAGAGGAGTAGAAGACAGGAGAAGACAGGAGAAGAGAAGAGAAGAGAAGAGAAGAGAAGCGAAGAACATAGAAGAAAGGAGAGGAGGATAAGGAGGGGGAGGCGGCGGAGGAAAGTGAATGAAGGGAGGGGGGGAAGGCTCCTCCTCCTCCTCCTCCTCCGCCGCCTCCTCCGCCTCCTCTTCCTCCTCCTTTTCCTCCTCCTCTCCTCCTCCACCAACTCCTGCTTTTCATCCTCCTCCTGCTAATGTCGGCAGCGACAACGCGGCGACAACGACCACAACCACAAAAATTGCGGCCGCAACAACAACCCAGAATATGCTCGCCTCGCCCCATGGCGTCGCCCCCGAAACGCAGGGCGTCGACGGCGTAGCCGTCGTTGCACTCGAACCTCCATGGGGGTGGGGCGGTGTGTGGGGGGGGGGGGGGGGGCAGCGCGCGCATCCGCCTCCTCCTCCTCCTTCTCCTCCTCCTCCTCCTCCTCCTCCTCCTTCTTTTACTCCTCCCTCCTCCTCCTCCTCCCCTTCCTCTCTCCCCCCCTCCCTATTCCTGCTTTCCCTCCTCCTCCTCCTCCTCCTCCTCCTCCTCCTCCTCCTCCTCCTCCTCCTCTTCCTCATCGTCCTCCTCAGTCTCATGGGCTGCACCTCCTGCTGCTGCTGCTGCTGCTGCTGCTGCTGCTGCTGCTTCTGCTGCTCCCCCTCCCCCTGGTCAACACATTGCCCGGGGCTCGCGGCGAAGGGGGGGGGGGGGGCGTGCTGGCGGGCCGCCGACACTCGCTCCGCCCCTCGGCGCCGCACTGCTGGCATCGTGCAGGCGGTGCTGCCACGCCCGCGCTCTCCCATGCCGCGCAGGCCTGACGCCGGGCAGCCAGGTCCTGCGGCAGGCCGGGAGGGGCCGAGGGGCATGTGCACAGCCACGGCGCGAAGGGCCCGCTCGGCCGGGCCGCGCCACAGCCTCCCCCTCCTCCCCCTCCTCTCCTCCTCCTTCTCCTCCTCCTCCTCCTCCTCATCCTCTCCTCTCCCTCCTCCCTCTCTCCTCCCCTCCTCCTCTCCTCCTCCTCCTCCTCCTCCTCCTCCTCCTCCTCCTCCTCCTCCTCCTCCTCGAGGGTGAGTGCCGTGGCAGCGGCCGGGGCGGTGCCTCGACCGTCGCCGGGGGGCGTGGCGAAGCTGACCAGGCGGACCGCGAGGCGGAGCGAGGGCTCCATGGCGGTGAGGATGTCAGCGGCGTCGTCGGAGGGCAGGCAGAACTCCGCTTATAGAAGAAGATGAAGCCACATAAACATAAACTGTTGGCGCTGGGCGCGCGGATTGCCGCCAGGGGGGCCCAGGCGCGAATCCAAGAAATCCGCGCGGAGCGCCAAAAGGTTAATGTGTATGTGTTTTCTTCTGCGAACTTCAGCGACGATCAAAACGGGTCTTACGCGAGATGGCGTAGCGACCTCACGCGGTCGCTTACGCGGGCCGCGGCGGAGTCAGAGGCTGCGGCGGAGCACAAACTCTCGGGGGTTCCAGGGCAAGGCGCGGCCCAGGAGGGCCTCAGGGTAGTCCTCCAGATCATCCAGATGGACGACTATAACCAGTCGTCCATCTCTCGACGAGCTGCCGTCGCCAGCAGGAGGCGGGCGAAGTCGACGCTGGTGGGTGGGATGAGGAAAATGTCATCGCGGCCCGGCGCAGCAAGTGGTGCGCGAAGGGCGTGGATGATGTAGGACGGTGGTGGGACGTGGTGAAGTGGGCAAGCGCAAATGGCTGGGGTCAAACACGTTGCAGCGTGACGGTCCCGACCGATGGGGATGCCCCGCGAGGAGCCATCGGTCCTGGCAACGTCGCGAAGGACACACACACACACACACTCACAAACACGCCCGCGTTTCCTCCGACGCGCGGAAGAATCAAGTCGGAGGGTGAAAGATGGAGGGCCGCCCCCAAGTCAAATTACCTCCCTGTGACCCTGCGCGGAAAATCTACACACGCACACACACAAACACACTTTGTCGTCGGCGGCCAGTTGGTTTCAACGCATTGAGTACTAGGGCGGGCCACGCCTAATTCAAGTACCACCTGGCCTCGCAGATGGGGGGTCAGGACGTGGCTGACGCATCCGGAAAAAGCCGCCGAAGCGGGTGCACGTGTAAGAAGCTGAGACGAAACCAGGTGAGCGGTGCCACCCGAGCGGTGCAGAAGGGAGACCCGCAAGACCATCGCGGCTCGTAGCCCACTCAAGGGCGCGAGGCGGCGACCAGGCGGTAACAAAAACGCGACAAGACAGCAGGCACTGCAAGGGCGAGCGGCTGGAGCGCAAGAACTTGCGCCTCGCGCGGCCCACTGGAGGGTGCGACGCGGTGGCCGTGAAGAAAAAGTAGTGCCAGTGCGACAGAGGCCCGACCGTACAGGGAGGAGCGTGGGCGATGGAAGCGCAGGCGTGATGCAAAGACCCACGCGCCAGAGTGAACAGGGGGTGGCGCCCGAGGCTTTACCGACCAGGCCGGGAAGAAAACAGCGGGCGGCGGGCGCCGGCAGCCGCCACTCACGCCAGAAAGTGGGAGTGGCGTGCGCAAGCTCGGCAGGACGTCGGCGCCGATGCCAAGCGAGGACGCCATCTGGACACGAAGAGCCTCTGATCCCGGGCCAGGCGCCCGAAGGCGAGACCAACCCCAGAGACCCGAGGCAGCGTGGCCCCGCACAGGCACCCTGGCCCCACGGGGGGGGGCAGGTACACCTGGCAGGGGGCTGGGGGGCCCGAGCCCAAGCAGGCAGTCGGCCGGCACACACACACACACACACGCGGGGAGGGACGGAGGGCGTAGAAGCAGAAAACCACCCTCAGAATAAGCACTCCGACAAGCGAAGCAGTTTCGTGATCGCGCCCAACGAAGGAATCGAACAGGGCAGGGCTGTTTAGGAAACGTCCATTGTACTTTTGTAGACGCCAACTATGGGGGTCGGGGTGATTTCTCATCCCTTGAGGGAGGGATGTAGGAGGAGGAGGAGGAGGTGGAGGAGGAAGGGAGGAGGAGGAGGAGGAGGAGAGGAGGAGGGGATAGAAAAGGGAGTAGAAGGAGGAGAAAGGGAGGAGGAGGAGGAGGAGGAGGAGGAGGAGGAGGAGGAGGAGGAGGGAGAGGAGGAGGGGGATGGGGAGAAGAAGGAGGAGGAGAAGGGATGAGGAGGGGGAGGAGGAGGAGGAGGAGGAGGAGGAGGAGGAGGAGGAGGAGAAGAAGAGAAGAGGGGAGAAAGGGAGGAGGAGGAGGAGGAGGAGGAGGAGGAGGAGGAGGAGGAAGGAGGTAGGAGGAGAGAGGAGGAGGAGGAGGAGGAGGAGGAGGAGAAGGAGGAGGAGGAGGAGGAGGAGGAGAGTGAAGGGAGGAGGAGGAGGAGGGGGAGGAGGAGGAAGAGGGAGGGAGGAGAGGAGGAGGAGAGGAGGAGGAGGAGGGGAGGTGAGGAGGGGGAGGAGGAGGAGGAGGAGGAGGAGGAGGAGGAGGAGGAGGAGGAGAGGAGGTGGAGGGGGAGGACGAGGAGGGCGGAGGAACATGGAGGAGGAGGAGGTGGAGGAGAGGAGGAGGAGGAATGAGAGGATGAGAGGAGAAGGAGGAGGGGGAGAAGGAGGAGGACGGACGAGAGGAGGAGGAGCAGGAGAAAGAGGAGGAGAAAGGGAGGAGGAGGAGGAAGGAGGAGGAGGAGGAGGAGGAGGAGGAGGATGGATATTGAGGGGAGGAGGAGGAGGAGGAGGCGGTGGAGGGGGAGGGAGTGGAGGAGGAGGAGGAGGAGGAGAGAGGAGGAGGAGGTGGAGGAAGAGGAGGAGTAGGAGGAGGAGGTGGAGGAGGAGGGATAGAGGAGGAGGTGAGGAGGAGGAGGATGGATAGAGGAGGAGGATGAAGGAGGAGGAGAGACGAGGGGGGGGGGAGGGGAGGGGGAGGGGAGGAGGAGGAGGAGGAGGAGGAGGAGGAGGAGGAGGAGGAGGAGGAAGACGAGGAGGAGGAAGACGAGGAGAAGGAGGTGGAGGAGGAGGAGGAGGAGGAGGAGGAGGAAGAGGAGGACAAGGATGATGAGGAGGAGGAGGAGGAGAAGGAGAAGTGGGAGGAAAAAGGGAGGCGCAGACAGGGAGAGGGGAGGGAGGGAGGGAGGATAAGCGGCTCTCGGGGCCACGGCGCGCTGCCCCACGGCCACCCCGCCGCCCGAGAGGAGCCCGAGGGTCTCGCCGACCAGCGCGCTGTCGCCCAGGGCCTGGCCCTCCCCCGCCTCTGCTCGCTGGCTGGCGACGGCGGCGGCGACGACTGCGATGGCGATAGAGGAGGAGCGATCCTCCATCCCTCCCTCCCTCCCTCCCCCTATTTGCGCCTCCCCGTTCTCCTCCTCCTCTCCTCCTTTCATCCTCATCCCTCATCATCATCAGCATCATCAGCCATCATCGGCATATCATCATCATCATCATCATCATCATCATCATCATCATCATCATCATCATCATCATCATCATATCATCAGCAGCAGCAGCAGCAGCAGCATCATCCTCATTATCATTATCACCATCATCATCATCATCATCATCATCATCATCATCATCATCATCATCATCATCACCATCAGCATCATCATCATCATCATAATCATCAGCATCATCATCATCATCACCATCACATCACCATCATCATCATCATCGTCATCGTCATCATCATCATCATCATCATCATCATCATCATCATCATCATCATCATCATCCTCATCTTCATCCTCCATCCCTCCCCCTCCCCTGCTCGCTGGCTGGTGACGGTGGCGGCGACGACTGCGATGGCGATGAAGGGAGTTGGGCGCGAATTGGTGGGGTTCGATGCAGGGGGGGGGAGAGAGGTGGCCTTTCTGGGCCCGAAAGGCCCCCTTGGGTGCTAGCTATAACCAGTCATCTCGCAGCCCTCCAGCATTTATCCTTTGACGTGTTCCATATTTGCTCCATATCCATAACCTTTTTCCCCATACCCATTCCTCCCGAACTTCCCAGGGAGGCATTTCATAATAATGTGCAGACTCTGCGGCACGAGGAGCCACCACGAGACAACGGCAGCTGGCGCCGTTTGACAAAAGGATTGTTTGCTGCACTGAGTTTCGACAGTTCCTTTCAGTGAAGAGATTTGTGCAGACGCTGTCGCTTTCCGCCAGAGCTGAGGGAATAGGTGGACTTCGCTAACACTGGGGGCCCTAAAGGGCCCCTCAAGGCGCCCCTTGGGGCCCCTTTTCGGCAGCCCTCGCTGCCCCCCCATGCATCGCCCCCCATTGCGCGCCCCCCAAGGGGGGGAGGAGGGGGATCTACTGACCCGGGGTAGTCCAAACCTGGGTCAGTCAGGCCCAGACCTCGCAGGACCCCGCAATGTCCTGCAGGATCCTGCAAGATCACGCACCCCAGCCCGGGTCAGTGCAACGCTCTGGCCGTGCAGGATCCTACAAGAGAACCAGCGCTCTGACGTACCCCCGTTTGCATTGACCCCCGTCTCTCTTGAGCCCCGAGGGGTGGGGAGGAGGGGGAGGCCAGGGAGCAGGGGAGGCAGGGGAGCAGTGGAGGCAGGGGAGCAGGGCAGCGCGAAGTCGGCTCTGGGAGGTGAGCGTTTTCTTGTTCGGCGTTTCGACATTGGGCGGAAGGGTGGAGGGGTCTGGCCCCGGACCTCTGCTTAGCGCGACTGTTTGCAACAGTGCGTCCTACAGGGGGGGAGGGCCCCCTCCTGCTCGAAACAGGCGCCAGAAACAGCCAAGATCTACTCCACGGGGGGGGGGAGGGGGGGGGGAGGGCGAGGGCTCGCGCCGATCGGCTAACCAACACATAGAAGAACGATCACGAGCGGCCGTCACAGTCGTGGTTTCCTCCTCGGTCTCTGGGTCTCGGGGGCTGCGGCCCGAAGGCCAGAGGGAGGACCAGAGGGCCCTGGAAGTCGGACCCGTCGCGTGCGACTCGCCATCGCTCGGACGTCCAATCCCCTGCGTACTTGTCGATCTCGTGCGTGTAATGTTTCGCAGGGTGATCCGATGTGCTCCTCGATGGCCCTCGCCGAGAAAACATGCACACGTCCGAGCGATACCAAGGTGATGATGTCGGTGTGGGTGGGGGGAGGGGAGGGGACTGCGGGCTGAATGGGGCGCTGCGGAGGAGGGCCGGCAAGGGGGGGGGGGGACAGGCGAGGGGCAGGGGGCAACGGGAGGGACCGTAGATGGACAAAAAAATTGAACCCTTGACTCTGCCCCTCGGCACCCCCCACATTCAAAACTGTTCCCAGACATTCAAGAGCGCAGGCTTAAAAAGACCCCCAAACATGGAACCCCCGGGGCTTTTACCACGCCGGAGCCCAACTTTGAGTCGGGGGGAAGGGGGGGGACGAACATGGCATCAACGACGAGGGGGTTCCACTTTTTTGTCCCCTTACCGGAGGTCACGCGTGTTCGGGCGGATGTCCGCGCCGTGCGGCCACGCAGGGTCGTAGCAGGAGCGGCGAGGAGGAAAAGGAGGAGGGAGAGGAGGAGCAGGAAGAGGATGAGTAGGAGGACGAGGAGGAGGAGGAGGAGGAGGAAGAGAAGGCGGAGGAGGAGGAAGAGGAGGAGGAGGAGGAGGAGGAGGAGGAGGAGGAAAAGGCGGAGGAGGAGGAGAAGGACACAAAGGACGCACGCAACCACGTGCTTGAATGCGGCCCCCCAGTCCGCGAGACCAGCCTCGTGGTACAAGCGCTCGCGCAGTGCGTGCTTTCGAAACCAACGTGGGTTCGTGCACACCCGAAACGATGATTCAGATCATGATTGAAGAAACCTGGGCCAGGTTCGCGGATGCTTCTTAGAGCACACCTGGGCCAACTTTCTTGGCTCGTGCTGCAGGGGCGAACGTGCTTCAGAGACTAGGCCAGCTTCCGGGCAAGCAGGTTAAGAAACGCTGGTCCAACTTTTCGGGTGGAGGTCTCGTAATCAGATGCTCGACTGCACGTGTATGTCCTTATTTTTTTGGCGGAGCGCACAAGGGGGGTGGTGTGAGGGGGCATGGCTTCTTGGAAGGCCACGACTTCTGAGAAGCAGGGGTGCTTCTAAGACGCCTTCCCCCCTCCCCGTACCCTCCTCTGCGCATGGCCGATCCTGGTCTAAGGGGCAACGATACAGTCAACCCGTATTATAAGGACGCACGAGAAGGATGCAAGGGCCTTGGGAGGCCATGTCGACACTCTGCGGGCGGGGCGCGGCCAGCGAAAGCGGCCAATGATGGGCTGGAGGGGAAGGATGGAAGGGTGACCTTGGAAAGTCGTTCATGCTTACTGTGCGTGGCCGATCTTACGCGAGATGACGCAGCGACCTTACGCGGCGGTTTACGCGGGGCGCCAGCGCGGCACGCTGCACTGGCGACAAGGGCGCTTACGCGCGAGCTTACGCGGGCAGCTTGCGCGCCAAGTTCGGCGACCTGGAGGACGTGGCCAACGTGGCCCCGAGTCATGCTGGCGCCAGAACGATGGATTCCGCTGGGAACGGCCATCAGATGAGCGACGACCAAAAACAAGTCTCACGCGAGATGGCACAGCAACCTTACGCGACGGCTTACGCGGGCCGCCAACGCGGCACGCTGTACTGGCAACGAGGGCGTTTACGCGCGAGCTTATGCGGGCAGCTTGCGCGCCAAGGTCGGCGCAAACGGCCCCGTTCTGTTGCGTCGCTCACGTGGTCCAAGATGATCAACCAAAAAAGGGCCCCTAACCCTTCGGGAGGGGTCCTAAGTTAGGAGGGCCAAAAAACATTAAGGATACGTATTGTTTTTCCTCCAGATGTATCAGACCAAACCGCCCAGATTTATGATCCCTAAGCAATGCAAAGACGGGAACCTGAGTTAGGCCACGTCTTCACTTTGTTATTGGGGTTAGGGGCTCTTTTACTGACTACGTCATGAACACACGACACCACCCAACGAGAAACATCGGCCCTCAACAATCAATCAATCAATCAATAACGCCGTGTCTGCACGACACACCGGCTGAAGAAGTGCCGCCGGCTGGAGGCGCATGTCAAGACCAGGGCACAGATATCAAGGACAGTTCAAGAAAAGGTGTACCGGCTGGCGATTGTTCTCCACACGTGCGGGCCCCCAACGTGTTCTCGCTTAGGGCATCGCGTCGATGCCGATTGAGTGCAAGCAGCTGACGCGCCGTCATCCCTCGGATGCGTGCGTCGACGCATACGGTGCCAGAGTGAACATACACGACTACAAACAACCCAGACACCAAAATTCATCTGAATAGTTTTACTATAGGGGGGCCTGGTGGTCAGAAAGCCACGACTCACCCTCGATGAAAAGACGGTCAGACGCCGGTCAGCGGGCGGTGAGACACCCCGGGAGCGCATGGAGGCACGGCCGTCCAATGCACGGGCGCGGCAGGCTTCCGTCTCCAAGTGCGCGGCCCGCCCGCGGGCTCCATGCGGCGGCCTCGGGGACCTGCCCCGAGGTGGGGCAACGGGGACACCGGCTGCAGGCGACACGACAGCAGGCGTGCGACTCACGTGCTCGACCAGGAATCTAGAGGCCTCTCAGATGGGGTCCGAGTAGATGGGGTCGAAGGATCGCGCCGCATCGCCAATGCATCGCCGATGTATCGTCGATGCATCGGCGATGCATCGGCGACGTCGGCGATGCATTGGCGACGTCGGTGTTGGGAAACACGGGCTCCACATCGAGCCTCATCGTCGATGCATCGGCGATGCGGAGCGATCCTCCGACCCCATCTACTCTGACCCCCTCTGGGAGGCCTAGAGAATCGGCTGCCGCGCCTTCGGCGATTTTTGGCGATCTTCTCACAGCCTTCGGTGGTCCAAGCGGCGGGGATGAGGCTGGCAAGGGGCGGACGAGCCAGCGCAGACTACGACCCGGGCGTCGCGACTGGCGCCCGGGAGGCGCCGCAATCCCCGCGATAGCAGGGGTCGCAGTGCCGCGGCCTCGTCGTGCGCAGAGGACCCTCCGGGGAGCGTTCGGGCGCTTTGCTAGGGAGGGCCGGGCAGAGCTGCCCGGCGGGCTTGGTGCGACTCTGAAGGTCCAGCATTGGGACGCACAAAGACGTACTACAACCCTCGTCAAAATTGACCTCAAAAATGTCTTACGTGGCTGAACTGTTTGTGGGGAGATACTGGACAGAGTAGCGATGACTGCGAGGTACTTGTATGCGCCGCCCCTCCAATATCGGTCATCACCGAACTTCCGAGTCGTTCCTGGTCAGACCACCTTTGCCCTGGCCCCGACATTGGAGAGGCGTCTATCGGCATTGAAGGGCGCGCCGACATCGCAGGGGCGTGTTCACCATTTTTGAGGGTAATGTTGACGAGGGTAGTAGTACTATATGTCCTCCTTGGAGGCGCGCGTCAGACCCGAACTTATATTATACCCATCTTGTAGTATGTCGTTTCCCGAGCGGCGTGGACAGAAAGTGCCGGCCACGACGCATAGACTATAAGATTTCTCGGTGCGCGCGTCGCCCTGGGAGGGCGACGCACATATAGTATCAGTATGTTGGGGCGACGCCGATGTATCGTGGCAGCGTTGCTGCGCATCAGCCCGTGAAGAACTTCGAGAGGACGCTGGAGCGGTGCGAGCTCAGGCGGAAGGGGCGGCTGAAGGAGGCACTCTCGGCTACACGCAGGAGTGCGGCGGCAACGACAGGCTCGCCACCGCTGCCAGCTTTGGCTGGGCCGCTGGGCCACCTACCGCTGCCACCGCAAAACGACGACACCCAGCGCTCACGGTCGGCTGTGATCGGCGTGGGAAGGATAAGGAGACTGAGGAGAGAGGAGAGAGAGGAGCAGGAGAAGGAGGAGGAGGAGGAGGAGGAGGAGGAGGAGAGAGGACAAGGAGAGGAGCAGGAGAGAGGCGAGAGGAGATGGAGGAGGTGAGAGGCGAGAGGAGATGGAGATGTAGGAGGACAAGGAGAAGGGGGAGGAGGAGGAGGAGGAGGAGGAGGAGGAGGAGGAGGAGGAGGAGGAGGAGGAGAGCGAAGGAGGAGAGCGGAGGAGAGTGGAGGGGGAGGACCAGCAGCAGCAGCAGCGCCTCCCTGGACAACTGCCCAGGGAGCCCACGGAGCGGTGCCGGACCACCCGAGCGCCCCGCATCCGAAAGGTTGCGAGGAGCAGGAGGAGCAGAACCAGGGAGGGAGGCGACGAGGGAGTCTGCTCAATTCCGCTGGCCCTGGCCTCCCGCCCGCGCGCCCGCCCTCGTGCGTTGGCTCCTCGCCTCCTCTCTCCCTCTCTGCCGCCGCGCAGCACGGGCTGCTGGCACTTCGAAGCGATGAGGGAGCTCTTGGGTCGGACGAAAGGGAGGGTCGCTGAAAGCGGGGTTTTGGGGCTGATCCTCCAGCGCCTCCCGGCGCCAGTGTATCGAGGAAAAGCGCCCGGAGGCGGGGTCGAAACCAGCTGCACGCAGCAGAGCCAACCCGCATCATAAGGACGCACGAGGAGGATGCAAGGGTCTTGGCAGACCGTGTCGACACCTCGCTGGCGGGGAGCGGCCAGCAAAAGCGGCCAAGGATGGACCGAGGAGGCAAGGATGCAAAAGCACCCTTAGGAAGGGTGCCCATCCCTTCCGTGCGGGCCGACCGTAGATTTCGTACCTCCACCCCTCTCTCCCTGTCCACCCCCCTTGTGCGTCCAACCCGAGGCGCGCAGGACGCGAGGCCAGCCCCCACCCACACGAGCCTTCGCAT